CATTTTTTTTTTACGAATTCCTAGATAATAATTTCTTTGCTAGATTAGTGGTGTAAAATATGCCACAATTTTTGAGTTGCCTGCTTAGATTATACATAGTTCTATTGAGCTATCTGAAATATACATATAAACTCAACTTCGAGCGTTGTAGAAATGTTTGCAGTCGAGTTTTCATGCTCGAAATATGTATGCTCACAGCTTCGTGAACGCCGAACTACGAGTTTTGCACGAACCCAACATTCGCTGCTGAGCCATCTTAAAACTAGACAACAAGTACAACTTTGTTTGGCCGCCTTCACTTGGTCTGTTATTATTTTTAGCTTAACAAGTAGAAGAGCCAACCGGTAGTCTTCTGGCCCTGGCGGCGTCTGACTTAATTACAACAAACATTTCATTCCTGACCTACAAAATGTTATTAATACCGATTGTGTGTGGCTCGGTTGCGCCATCGGTATTAATTAAGTAATCAAAAGTCTATTGATGCTAACTAAGTCTAAATTATATTAAATTTTCACGTTTATTTTTAATTTCGATTTGATTTTATATTTGTATTATATCTTACTCAACTAATGGTTGTTAATAACAATTTGTTATGGTTGTTGATAAACGTGTAATATGCGGAGATGCGCGAGTAGTATTGAAAATTAAAGCCTAGTATTGGCGCTAATTACTTGAAACATAAAAAAATAGGAAATAGGTGCAATGAAAAGCAAAAAACGAAACATACAAATAAAAACAAAAGACTGATATTGCTTCCTAATTCATAAATTTCATACATCAGCGAAATTATAAACATTTTTTAAGGGGGACTTGTGAGTAAACTCTTTTTGTGTGAAGCAAGTCTTACATATGAACATACATTTATAGCCAGATGCTGAGAGTTTCAATAACCCAGTGAAGCAGTTGATTTCGAATTTTTATACCTTGAACACTAAGTTATATTAAGTTGCCACGAAATTTTAAAATAATATTGTATTTTATCCATGTCCGCCCATGTGTCTATATAACTCCGAAGTAGTCCCTCAATTTTTTGCGATATCGCTCTGTAATTTTGCACATATTCTTTTCTTCATAGAAGCTGCTGATTGTAATTGTAGAGTCAATAAACAGTACTAAATAATTTTGAAGAAGTTACGCGAGTTGACGGCCCTAGATCGAATTTAAAAGAACAGTACAATTAATTGGATCGGACTGTCAAGGGCGCAAATATGCGTGGTAGATGCATGACTGTGTTCTACGAATGGAGCAGGACCCATACCGCGACTATAAACGCTTAGACACAGTTTAGAGGACAGTCGGGTCTACGTGACTGCAACAGAATTCGCTTTTTATTAGGTCAAAAACTATCTTCCTAATAACTTAAGTTGGTACAACAACAAACACATAGTAGACACCGCCAAGTGTAGCCATGTCCTTCTCCACCTTGTTTTTCCAATGGAAAGGAAGTCTTCCTCCTACGCCACTTGGAGATTCCAAGTGTAGCCAGATCCTTCTCCTTCTGGTCTTTCCAACAGAGTAATAGTCTTCCTCTTACTCTGCTTCCCGCAGCGAATACTCTCAGAGCTGGACTGTTTTCATCCATTCGGGCGCCATGACCTAGCCAGATTAGCCGTTTTCTCTTACTTCCCTGAGCTCTGTCAATATCTCGAAAAACTCATCGTTCCATCAACTGCGCGGAACCTTCTTTCGAAAACTCGTAATGCCGTCGCATCAGATGTTGCCTCTGCAGCATGTAGCAGGATGATGAGTGATTTATATAGTTTGGCCAGACTCATTTGCTTCCCTTCCTTGTCCAGTCTGGAGAAAGCAGAAATAACGGTGTGCGCCAGCAGCTATACATTATTAAGTCCTGAAACTCGAACTCGTATTTCCAGGAGTAGATTGAAGAAGTCGCATGATAGGGAGTCGCCTTTATTGAAACCTCTTTCGATATCAAACGGTTGTGCGAGGTTCTTCCCGATCCTGACGGAGCTTTTGGTATTGCTCATCGTCAGTTTACACAGCTGTATTAGTTTTGCGGGGATGTCGTCACCAAAAAGGAAGTTTCTCATCCAAGCGCTTTTCTTTTCTACGGGTTACGTAAAACCCGGGCTACCCAGAGGATACTTGGTCTGAGTCCGGAAGTCATTTCAGCCATATGTAAATGATCTTGCCATTCTCAGATGAATAGCGTTCACAGAATTTCGCTCACTTGCGTGAACTTCTACACACGACTGCATCCTCCTCTACACATGGCTCCATCCTACGACGTGACACGTGACCTAGTGCCTCAATTTGTTGAGATATCGCTCTAAAGAAACGATATGTTTTTATTCAAGAACTGCTCATTTGTCGTAAAAACGATCAATATTAAATTCTTGAACTTGAACTTTTTTATTTGTGACAGTTATTAGCTTTGGTGGCGTGAAGAAGCAGTGTCTAATAATTTTGAGGAAGTTTCGCGAGTTGACAGTCGACCCCTTAGTCTCTTCAACTTCTAGTTATGGACCCAAAGTCCATCATGCTTTTTAAGTTAAGTCAGGACTAATCGGCACGACAATTATAACAAGGATTACTTAAGGATCTGTGAGAACACGGGTATTTTGTCTTGTCAAAATTTGTAGATATCAATCAAGAGATCTCCACGTATAGACGGAATGGTTTGGGTTACATTTAGATAAATTTCGTTACTGAATCACAAGAGTTCCACTTGAAATATAGAAAGGCGTCATCTTTCTGCCGACGAAGCACTTTGGGTCGCTCATCGATTTTTTGTGGCGTTTAATAAAAATCTCAGTCAATTCGTCCGATTGACATGACAATCACGATGTTTCAACTTTTGTCTAGCTAAAGTTCTTTACTTTACTTCATGAGCTCCTGAGAAAGTTCGCTTGAAGAAAGTGCAATGAAAAATTTTTACTCACGAGGTTATGCATTTGGAAAATATGAAAAGCAGCTTGTATGTCCATTTCATGCACCGTGCGTTGATGTATTGGTTGGTGCATCGTCTGAAGTTGTTTTTGTTTTAAAAAACGGGTATTTGTTAATCATACTATCAGGCATTCGGTGAGGCCAGACACCAAAAGTTTGTTGAGGGTGAACGCGAATCACGACAGAAAGCGAAATTATTGTACACGCATACATACGTATGTACAACGATGTACATAAGTTCAGGCAGTTTGTTTGAGTATGTTACAACGTTACTAAAACAATAACATTAAATGCAAGTTTGTTGTATTTTACAGCTAACAGTGATGACGCTTGTAAAAATGCCCACAAGCATCAGGGAAGTGTTGCAGTCGAATAGATATACATACACATATGTATGTAAAGTATACTCTATACTAATGTACATACATATGTAAATACATTTGAATGTAGTGGTATGACTTGGAGGCTGCTCATCGGTGCACACCGCTTCGCACCTATAAACCATGGTAGCAAGAAGATGGTGTCAAGAGGCACTATGCAAGCACTTGTAGATATGTATTTATGTATGTTTGTGTGAGCTAGTGCACAAAAATTGTATGTTGGCTAGTAAATATGCTTAGACGCCTAGCATTTTGTATATTAATTAATGTAATTTTTTTTTGTTTTTAATAATTTGTATACCCCGAATAGGGTAAAATAAGTTTGTAACACTCAGAAAAAAATGTCAGAGGTCCTATAGAATATACATATACATACATATGTATGTATATAAATTATTAGTGTGACGAGCTGACCTAAGAATTCACCTTGCCCGTGTGTCTCTCGATCTTTCTGCATATATGCGCACTAGTCGCTCGGTTGTTGAGTTATCGATCTGAAATATTGCGTATGTCCTTTTCCCCTCAAGCAGCTGCTCATATGTCAGAACCGCCGATTTCAGATCACTTTAGCATATAGCTGCCATACAAACTGACCGATCAAAATCAAGTTCTTGTATGGAAAACTTTTTTAGTTGACGAGATGTCTTCACGAAATTTGGCATGTATTATTTTGAAAGCAACCCTACAACCTCCAAACAAATTATTTAGATCGGACCACTATAGCAAGTAGTTGCCATACAAGCTGACCGATCAAAATCAAGTCCTTGTATGAAAAACTTTTTTAGTTGACGAGATGTCTTCACGAAATTTAGCATGTATTATTTCCTAAGGCAACCCTACAAACTTCGAACAAATTGTTCTAATCGGNCACGAAATTTAGCATGTATTATTTCCTAAGGCAACCCTACAAACTTCGAACAAATTGTTCTAATCGGACAACTATAGCAAGTAGCTGCCATACAAACTGATAAGCAAAGTCAGGATAAAGATCATTTTAAATCCTTCCATGCTATAGGAAATGTGCCTGTGAAGGGTATTATAGCTTTTCTTCTAGTTTTATTTTTATTTGCTTGCACATTGCATAATTCGTTAATGACAGCGACAATAGCAAAAACAATAAAAGGTGCAATTAGTAAATGCTTTGTTTAGCTGCCAAATTTGAATGGGAATCGTACGCAGAACCATTAAAATCTCAATGAAAGTGAAATTAAGAAGGAAAAAGGCGATGAAATGCTAAAAATACATCCCATATTACTGCTAGCTACTATATATGTATGTATGTATGCATGCTTGCATTTCAAAAGCATAAAAAATCTCATGCTTGAATAGCGTTTTGTAGACGTGAGGCGATGTCGTTACAACGCCCAACAGCAACAATATTAACATTAGCATTAGCTTAGCATCATCATAATTATTATCAACCTCAGCTGCGCTTTACTGACCAACAGCCGCGGTAGCCGGTTTTTTTTTTTTTTGTTTGTGTTTAGTCATCTTAAAATTCAGTTATAATATTTACCAACTTCTTCTACTGGCTTAGCATGCAAATCAACGGAAGTTTGTGCCCTATTGCTGCCGTACTGCTAAGCGCATCTTTACAGCTGTTGTTGTTGCATGTCGCATGTCGCACGCTCGGCGCTGCTGCGCGGCCAACTTAACGTGGTTTTCGCATATAAAGCCGTTCGTTGCAATGCTTAGAGCATCAGTTGTTGATTGACTCTCTCGACTTACATAGCTCTTAAACATAGAGACAACAACATGAAGGTGTGTACCGTTAACAGGATTAATTGGATTAAAATATACGGCAGTGTCACGCTGCATTCCTTCAAAACGGACTACATTTCAAACGGATAACTAACAATAAATCTCTTTAATTTTCCTCAGGTATTTGTGTGTTTATTGGCGGTTTGCGCCATTGCGAATGCGGGCATTATTGGCGGCGGCGGCGGTGGTTGGTCCAGCGGCGGAGGCGGTGGTGGTGGCTGGTCTAGCGGCGGCGGTGGCGGCGGCAGTGTCAAGATTGTGAAGATCATTGATGCTGGTTCCGGCGGCCATGGTGGCGGCGGCGGCGGTGGTGGTTGGTCAAGTGGTGGAGGCGGCGGTGGTGGCTGGTCCGGTGGTGGTGGCGGCGGCGGTGCCGATGTCAAGATCATCAAAGTCATCTCACATGGTGGTGGTGGCGGCGGCGGCGGCGGAGGCGGTTGGTCCAGCGGTGGTGGTGGCGGTTGGTCCGGCGGCGGCGGCGGTGGTGGCTGGTCGAGCGGTGGTGGTGGCGGCGGCGGCTCCGTCAAGATCATTAAGGTCATTTCGGAAGGAGGTAGCGGTGGCGGCGGCGGCGGCGGTTGGTCCAGCGGTGGCGGCGGTGGTTGGTCTAGCGGTGGTGGCGGTTGGTAAATTACCAATTAACACAGCCAAAAAGCTAACCTCCTTGTGATAAGCAACAAGCCAATAGTGTTCAAATTCATCGTAAACTTTACAAGAAAATTTTGCAATCCTTGCAACACATACTATGCCATAATCGTACCTAATCATCCACCATCTGGCAGCAGCATAAAAATCATCAAAGCACAACTATACAAACAGTTTCAGAAATATTCACCGCTAAAGTGTTGCCAAGAGTCACCGTCTACCAGTATGTCTTTTTAAAATACTCATAAGTGACTTGATGAATCTACCAACCTCTTACTACATATTTACATCTGTACACATAACTTTTGTGCATAAATCCACTATTTTTTTAGCAAAAAATAAAGTAAACAAAAAATTACAATATAGTTAAAAAAAAATACTCGTTTTTGCACTTTTTTCGGCTAGATAAATAAGCATTACTGTGAGCTTTAAACTTTGAACTTTGCGCTTTTACCTTTTTTTTTTAATTTTGTATGCTAACTACTCAGATTATTTACAAAATTAACAATAATTACACTAAATCACGATATGTAGCTTCGCTGCTCCCCGTATATTCGGGGCGACGTGACCGGAACTAAACCGAATTTTCGGGCCAATAATAGCCACCTCAAAAACATCAATCAGCCATACTAGCAGACATTTTAATATTGTTAGTACTTTCAAAAACCATATTTTTGTCAAATGGCGTAAATTTGGCTTTATGCCTCATTGGAATTTGATGCAATCGGTTAATAAATAATTTGTGCAAAACATATGTTTGTTTACTGCGGCTTTTGTCCTCTCTTATGAAACGGTGATAAGCCGCAAAAAGCTGCTATGTTGACTTGTCAACAAAGCACAGTTATGAATGAATTAGCGTAATTCATGTGTAATGAAAATAATTAAAGCGTTTTTCAGCGAAAATTCAGCGGAAATTACACCGAAATTACTTCCTGAAAAATTTAGCTGTGTAAGTTTTTCACATCAAAAGTTGTTGCTGCCAACAACACTACTGTTAAATTTTCGCGATGAAATTTTAATAATCTCTTCTGCGATTTGGCACCATTCACTGGCACTCTCAAGGAAAACAAACGTTAATTCATACATTTTACGCATTTGCATTGAATATGATTTTGAATATGCGCTGGATTTTTGAAATCTCTAGTTTATGATATAGTCCGCTTGCCGTTTATAGCAACAAAGCAATGAAAACRTACATATGTATGTATGTATATGCATCAGATTTATAAGCATTGTAAAGATGCCCGGCAGTTGCTATTGTTTGCATTTGGAGTTAATTTCACTGCTGATTTTTCGTTTTTGCCACTCAATTAATTTAAAGTTGTTTTGTTGGTACGGTACACGCTTCAGAGAAAAGTTAGTATGGTATTAATTGTTTTAGTGCATAAAATATACTGTTTTCATTAATTGTCTAATAAAAGAGTTGCACAAATTTAAAAGTTTTGTGTATAATTTAAATAATCTTTCAACATATTCGCCTACATATTTTGCACATGTTTACACATATATACATGCATATGTATGTACCTACATAGATATGAATAAAGAAGCAACATAATTAACGTATAGGCATCACATGTTTTAATTATTTTGCTTCAATTCCAATTTACGTTACCTTGACTTCATTTCATGGCTTTGAGTAGTTCAATTGCATTGTCTAAGTAGTTTAATGAGTGTTTTTAAATAAACACCTCTTCTTACACTTCACAACATTTTCTCATAAAGAAATATTAATTCCACTTTTTTCCGAATCAGTTGAGTTCTGCTTAGTACTTAAAATATTAGGAACCGCTTTAATATCCGCTTAAGATAATGGGATGATTCTTTCCGGATATTACTATTTGAAAGGTTTGCTTTCATATTTTGGCACACACATACTTATATTTTTTTGAGACATGTTCACAGTATGAATAACTTCTTCTTCTTCAAGAACACATTCTATAATTTCAAAAGTTTGAATGAAATTCCCCACCAATTTAAAAACAACATTAAATATAAAAAACTGTTATTGAGATAAAAGTTATAAGCAAGTATTTTTTAAATTATGTTTATTTCATTGCTCAATAACACAATTATCACTTAAAGTCTGCAGCTGAATTAATGTGATTATTTTGTGATATTTAGGTAACACTTTTTAGACGCCAGTGTAGAGACAATGTGTAACCAGAGAACGTATAACATATTATAAAACATTGCTTTTTGAAAGAAAAAATTCAAACCTAAACCTGAAATACGTGTTCATTTTTATATTTATATTTATTTTTTGCATATGAAAATAATAACAAGTATAATTAATTCCATTATAAATAATAATATTGTCAACAATTATTAGAAACTTTCTATCCAACTCTAATATCTAAGCCTGAGCAACCCTGAAGTTACGAAAAATGGCGGTCTGCTCTACGATTTCACCACACCTTATGACACAAGCATACTCGCTCTGCCATGAGGCAAAATCGTGGTTGTTAAAAAGCGACAGCATGATCTTCTACGAATAAGGTGTAAAGCATACCAATGAATAACACATACAAGAGCAATCAGAAAAAATCAAGTGTCATATCAATAGGAAAAGCAAGCAGCGCATAAAAAGAAAATTTCAGCTCCAATTGTAATAAAAATTTCTAGCCCAACAATTAATTAAAAGTATTAGAATTGAAAGAAATTTATAAGTGTGAATTGGAGCTACATATTTAGCTAAAAAGGCCATTATTATATTTAAGCGCTTCTCATGAAAATAACTCGAGGGTAAGCACGTTCCAGCAGAGCCGTATTGAAAAAGTTTCGCTTTTTGCCGACGACGAAGTTCGAGTCGTCGACGTCCCTCCCAGAAAAAAAGTAATCTTGGTAAAAGGAGGAACTCTGAGAGCCAAAGGGTTGCTTTTCAATTGAAATTGCCAAGATAACTTGGTTAACATTTTGGTTGGAACGAACCAAAATAGCGGCATATCGTTAACCAACGGAGTATTGGGGGGAATCTAAAAAAAAATTTGTAGACGTTTATTGCGGCGGCACAACGAAGACGAAGAGGAAAAAAATTGGGCGAAAACTTTGCATTGATGGTAATGCATGCTAGAAAACCGCAACGTGTGAACGATGGGTAAATTTATTATTTTATATTTATTACATGCACTTTGTAGATAACTTAGTAGCGAAAATCAAATATTGAATAACTTTGCACCAGTAGTCAAATGAATACACATCGTATTTATAAGTACGACAACTCGATAATACACAACAATCTTTTAAAATGATTCAGTATCAGTGAGAAATTTTTTGCTGGCATTTTCCGTTGTCCGTCATTCTCCGGCCATTCGTATGGCTTTGATTTCATTGTGTGCTTTGAGTTAATTTTTCCTTCCACCTTGTTTGATTATCTGCTATTTGTCTGGTTCACCAATTCCGAATTTGTCTTATGTTCGTGCTTTCGTTCTTTTCCAATTTCTTTGATGGAATATCATAAGGAGAAGAGGAAAAAAATGTCTGAATATTAAAATCGACTAAGAACTATTTGAAGTTTTCACAAATTTCTGCATTTGGAAAATTACAGAAAAATTGTTGTAAAGTTTTTGAAAAGATTTTGATACATTTTAATTTGAATTTGAGTGAAAAATATCGGGATGAAATGAGGAACTAATTATTAACATCTGACTCCGGGAATTTCTAATTGTACATAGTTGAAGAGTAGATATACCTATATGTATCTGTTCTGCCATTGCTGCTGCTACTTCTAGTGCTGCTGCACCTCTCCAATATAAACGCCGTCGTCTTTACCAGTGCTTAGCATTAGCCTTTGCTACATATTCCCTCATATGCGGTAATTATTTTCAACGATTTTCATTTTCTCCTATATTTTTCTTAAAAAAGAATAGTATGGAAAAGTTGCACATATATTCTACACGTTAATTAACTTTTATGGATTATAAGATATAATCAAAAATGCAACAAAAACACCAGTTGAATTAAAATATTGTCAAGGAATGTGTTTTTGTGAAATCCATAAGTTGGCCACAATGAAATGTGACAGAAGCAAGTTGTGCACCATGTAACAGCAGATGTTGAATTTTGTCTGATAAATTCAAAGTAATTAATATATTCCAAGCATTGATTTAACGTATATAACTACTATAGAAAACATTATCTTCGGTGGTATCGGCGCTTTAATTCACTTCACAAATATAGATTAGTGGGCTTGTTTGGCAGCTAAATGCTACATTGGTCCGATCTGCACAATTTATACGGAGATTGTACCGTTGTCTTAGGCAATAACATTTATATGTAAAAAATCAAGTATGGAAGATTTGATCGTTCAGTTTGTGTTGGGCTATATGCTATAGTGGTCCGATATCGTTGCCGTGGTTAACTTAATATACCTTGTTCAGTGTATAAAAATATGCATTCTACGACAGTATGTGAAGGTGTGGTATAAAAACAAGTCCACTTCCCGACAAGAGCTTTCTCTTTAGCAGGCTTCGCTGTAACTATTTAAGGATAAGGATAAATGACCTATAGAACTACCTAACTAAATATTTTTAATTTACTAACTTACATGCTTAATTGAAATTAACATATCTTTATATTCTTGCAGCTACTTTGAGAAGCATCAGTCTCATTCGTATCAGGTGAGTGTTGAAACAAGTTGCAATTATTTTAAGAGTATTAATGACAAACATACTGCATATTCATCTTTATGTTGCCCCGACTATATTCATGGATGCGATTATATCAAGTTTTATATTCTGGAGTTTGAATTAACTAGTATATTAGAAAAATATTGTTTTTATGCTGTTTTGCAAATTTGTTTTTTTTACTGTGCTTGTGTCTTAGAGCTACTCATATATTTTTAGTAAATATTTTTGTAAATTTAAAAACTTAACTTAAAAAGTGTTTATTTGTAATCAAAAGAAACAAAAGTATTTATTTGTAACCCTTTGACGCCGGAAATATGTTATTTCTAAGAATCAGTGTCATTCAGTTAATTAATTTTGGTTTATAGCTCTTTTTGTGTCAAAATTTAAATGGTAGAACATACCGACTTGTGTTCCTTGCTTTCATTTTTTAAAATAACCAACTTCTTTGCTTAACATTATAATAACTATACCATGACATATAGAACCTTTTGTGTTTCGTTGCTCATTGTATGTGCGCATATTTTCAACAAATATTTTTTTTTTAATGATTTCTTCTCTAACTGCAAACATATACAAACTGCATCGGTCTTCTCGTTAACTGTCGTGTACACCACAACCAAGCAGCAAATCATCTCAGCATACAATATGAAAGTCCTCCTTCGTTGTAATCACTAACAAAAACACTAAGCACATATAATAAATAATCAAGGATAAAAAGTATAAAAAGATAATATTAAAGAAATACAACTTGTTGTATTTTCGGGTCTAAAACGCCAAAAATGTCTAGAAAAAGAAATGCAACCAATTGTAAGTCTGTATCATCTACGAATCCTACAACATAACAAACCGACAAATAACCTCTCTCACAATTGTGTGTTCCATTAACTCAAGGCAACTCATTTCGCTTCGCGTTAGTCAAGTAATAAAACACAAAAAATTAAAAACTAACAAAGGAAAAAATACACCATTATTTAAATATATGTAAATCGTTAACATCATTTTAAAGTGCAAAGTTGAAAATTGTTTTTAAACAAAAAAAAAAAAAAAAAAAAAAATGGAAACTTCGACGCATCTTAATTGTTGCATCATCGCTTAGAAAATTACAAATTAAAAAAAAAAAACCGTTTTAAGTGTGTATAAATCACTATTATCTTAGTGTCAGCTCTGCGAGACGCTTCCAACGATTCCTGAAGCGTTCCGTTAGTACTCACTCGTGAGATTCCACAGTTTATGACTACTACAAATAGTATCACAATAGATTTACCATTGGCACCCGGCTGTAACAAAAATGCTGCTGTCGGTCTGTGTCGCGTAGATGATGTAAGTAGAAGTGCGCTCGGTCGTGGGCGTGCGCTGCGCATGCGCTTATCCACTTGAAAAACGTATGCACAGTAGCGTCACATGGCACCAACAATTACTGTAGATAACTTAAATACACTCGTTTCACACAAAACCAAAAAAAGAAAATCATTAAAAGCGAAATTTGTGTACACACTTGGCGACACGACACGGACCGACAGGTCAGATGATGCAGAGTATTTCGAGAAAGTAAATTTATTTTGATTGCTATTATCTTAAAAAAACAGCTTATTGATGTCCTGTCGCTAAGTGTGATCTGTTGGCTGATGCCGTTTTTTTCTTTTCAGCCCATAAGGTCTTTAATTAATGGGATTCCAAAATTTTAAATTGCATTTATTTTACACAACATTATTTCTTTTATTGGCTTATACATTTTATATTCATTGGCATTTCTGCAAATGTGGCAACTAATTTTCTTGATGTTGTTTGTGTATTTCTTTTCCCCATGAATACATAGTAGATCAGCACCTCATTTAGTTCTTAGAAAACTTTTGTCCATTTGTTAATTAATGATTTCACAAATTTTACTCTTCCTTTACAGAGTTCCAAGTACAGTTCAAAGCGCGATTATGAACGCGATCGCTCATCAAACTATCGCGATCGCGATCTGTCGCCAGCTAGCGGTGGTCCATTGAATAATGGTAAGTGTCAATAAAATACTTCTTTTAAAATAGTAATTAACGTTTTTTTTACATTTCGTTTACAGTTTCGCAAAGATTATCGCAAACTGCTATGAATAATGGTAACAGCGCATCGTATCGCTCACAATCACCCGAAGTAGATTCACCATCGTCAAGAGGACACGGTTCGCACGATATACGCGATCGTGATCATCGTGGTAGCGATCGTTTCAGTTATATGCAAAAAATGCGGGATCGTGATCGCGATGTCTATAAAAAGGATAAATATTCTACAGGTGAGTTAAAAGTCACGTTTACGATAATTACACTCAAAATGGTTAGGATAATGAAAGCGTTCACGGGAACTTACAGTAAAAGTGTGCCTCTCTCTCTTCATTTCTATTTTTCCAATTGTACTTCAATGAAAGCAATGAAATTGAGTCTTCGTGATTTAGGAGTGGTCAAAATAGATCTAAGGTCGCGCTGCATTCCTCGTTTATCAATCAATCAAGCAATCAATGAAAAAAATGATTCGATTCGTTCCTTCTAGGTTTGTTACACTGATTTGTAAAGCAAAGCAGAATTTTAATGCTGCTCTTTTAGCCTTTCATATTATCATCAATTTACACTCTTCTTGGTCCAATTGGATTGAGAAATAACCGATATTCGTGTTTCCTCACGTCTCACAAACCAACCTCTTCAGAAAATCTGGAAATCTAATTGGAAACAATTAGTATGCCTTGGTGATATTTTTTAGACAGTCTACCCAGTTATACTCAAATAAGAGTGCTTTATTAACAGACAATCGGTTAAAGGAGTTCGAGTCAGCTCGATAAAATTGCGTTTTCATAATTTAGCGAGATAAACAATGCTATCCATAGTCCCCGCTTCGATTTAATTACTTTTTTTCTTGCTTCCAAACTGTCTTATATAAAAACACCTTCCCTATGGTTTAATCCCGACGCAATTGTCCCCGGTCAAAAGCGTTAACCTTAACAGCATTAACCACAATTATTTGGGTAATCTTTTAAACAATAACAATAAGATCTTGACACATTGTTACTAGTTTTTAAATGTCACTGTCAACAGAGCGATCAGCTGATAATGGATATAAAATGACATAACCTATGAAGTAATGCATGTGCTACCCAAAAAGAGAGTATTTTCGAAGAAATTGTATGAAATATATAAGAAAAACATTCAAACTGAAAAATTATATTGTAAATTTTTCTAGTAAGAATTTTTATAATTTTTATTCGAAAGAAAGCAAAATGAATCTTCATAAATCTTTATAATATTATTTCTCTCATTTTACAGATAAGCGCGATAGACGTGGCGGTGGTAGTGGCAGTGGTGGTGGTAACGATCGTGATTCAGAATCGCATCGCACCAATCATGATAGGTTGGATCGCCGTGGCGGTGGCAGCGGTAGTGGAAGTGGAGCAAAGCTTTGTTCTTCCAGTAGCGGCGACAAGCGTTCCGGCTCGACAGATCGTGACCGAGAGCGCGATCGTGATCGTGGCGATTTGAGAGATAGTAAACGTGAACGTGGCTCCGAGCGAGATCGCGATAGAGAACGTGACCGCGATAGGGATCGTGATAGAGATCGCAGTGATCGTGGTGGAGGCGGTGGCGATCGTGAACGCGATCGAGGAGGTGGTGGAGGCAGTGGTGGCGGCGAACGCAGCGATCGTGGCGAACGTGTGGCACGATGTGGCGATTGGAGTGAACATGTCAGTTCATCTGGTTAGTTTTAATTGAGGCTAAGAGTTTATTGAAATCTAATTTATTAATTTGCGTTACAGGAAAAATGTATTATTACAACTGCAAAACCGAAATCTCACAATGGGAAAAACCAAAGGAATGGATTGAACGAGAACGGTATGAGTTTTGTGACTTTAAAGCAGAAAAAAATATTTTAGTTTTCTAATTGCTATGTTTATAGAACTCTGGCACGCGATCAACATAGGGAAAAAGATTATCGAGACAAAGACCGCGATAGAGATCGTGAGGATCGTTTTTGTAGATCAGGTTAGTATTATGTCACTTTATTTAACAGGCGTAGACCGTAACAGAGGATACGAATATATAATTAATTTTGGTTTTTGCAGCTTACGCGAAACATTCCAGTTCTCGAGGAAACTCACGGCTGAGGTGGAATTATGAAAACGATGGCGGACCGCCAAGTCATCGAAGGCGTTTGGATGGTGATTTTCTCTCTTTTCCGCTTAATCTTCACATTATTTTATATTTAACTTAATTTCCCAATGCAAGGTCGCATCGCTGAAAATCCCGATATGGACATAAGTCCCGGTGACTCCACGCCAACATCGGAGGCTAGCTATCCGCTGACCGGCGCGCCTACAGTTCATGGTCTGGTGAATGTGCAACACAATGACCTATCAATTCCAACATCAACCGTTGGCCTGCCGAATGCATTACCGCGTTTAGCTTCGCATCCCAACGCCAGCACTGTTATGTCATCCTCCTCCTCCGCGTCCGCTTCTGCTGCAGCGGCCAATGCAGCTGCCGCTTCAATGCATTTCTCCGCGTCATCCGCGTCAGCGCATGGTTCGGGCGTTGTTGTAGGCGGAGCAACAATGTTGCCCGCCACTGGACTCGCCTCTGTGCCATCGAGTACAGGTGTACCAGTGATGGTTGCTGGTGTGCTGCAGACACAAAATAATAGTAATCATCGAAAAATGGATCCAGTGACAATGCTGCAACAGCAAGCGCATTTAGCGTCAACAACATCGCCAAATGTAAGTTGCAAGTTTGCATATATAACCATTAAACGTATTATTTACTTGTAATATAAACTCCTATCAATCGGTCAGGTGGATCATCATTTGAACTCGAATGCACCGGGTCCGCCGAAAATGGGTACAAAGGAGCAACAGGAAATGATGATGAGCTCGCAACAGAAGGCGTTATTAATGCGACAGCAGCAACAGCAGGCGGCGTTGCATCATCATCACCAACTTTCACATCATGGTGGCAGCGAGGCGGTACATATGATGTCCAATACCGGCACTTCCATTGATGTTACCAATCACGCGGCCTCATCAGCGGTGATAGTTCTAAGGTAACTCGTCTGTTTAATATCTCCATCTTCTTAATAGTCATTCTAACTTTACTGTATTCCATTATGCAGAGATAATTCGGTGAACTCACCACACTACAATTTAGCCCATACACATGGCATGTCGCCAATGGGCTACAATACAAAGAGTCCTATCACGGGTGTTGGCGGCAGCGGTGGGGTTGTTCCTGTTACCGGTCATAGCAACAATGTGGGCGGTGGTGGCATTAATATGAGCTCCGGCATAAATGCTGGCTCATATGCCGCCTGTAACACACCGTACGGTTTAAAGACTGTCGAGGGTAGCAGTGGCGGTGTCATGAACTCGATTGGCAACAGCAACAATAGCGTTCACTGTCCCTCATCTAGTTTAGCGAATGTTAGCGGAAACGCTGGCGGTAGTGGAGTTATTGGTATTCTGCCTGGCGAAGGACCACCAACGCCAACGCAAGAAATGGACCTTAATGTAGCGGCAATGGAACAGCAACAGCGTAAACGTATGTATTTACATAAATAAAATATTTAATAAATTCAAAGATTTCAATATGTAAACTCTAACATAACCCTACATTTTTTTCCCCGACAGTGGAAAACACTTCATCCGCCTCGTTGAGCACACTGCAAAGTTGTGTAGCGTCGTCTGTGCAAGCCGGCCGTTCACAGGGTCCAGAGATTTCACCGAAATTAGCAAAGTATTTTCGTGCTGATTTAATAACACATGTCACCAATTGGCCAGCTGATATTTTGGAGAAACAGGTAATGCAAGAGGTGCAGTAGTTTTACAAATTACACACACAATACTTTGCATTCATGCAAAATTTTTCCTTACCTACTATTTTACAGGCGCAAAAGTGTTCCGAAGAAACGCATTTGTATGGGGATTTACAGTGTACGAAAGTGTCGGCCGAGTTAAAATGTGCTAGAAGCTTAGTTAGAATAACTGAAATCACAGCAACACTACAAGAACAAAAGTAAGTTGGAAAATTACCACATTTAACTATTGTTTATTTTTATGTAGTGCGTTGTTTTATAAAATTGGGCATGACGGCGTAACAGCTCTCTGTTGTGGTTGATGTATGAACAGGCTTATTGGAAAATATCTTACCAAAAGAAAGCAGGTCGTACCGGCTGTACATTATTGTTTGATGAGACAAACTGCGTGACACTTCCCATAGGTCCGCTATTGGCAGAACAAATTTTAAGCATAATAGCGTTTATAGGGATTAATTTTGCAGGCAAGAAAGCACTATTGAATCCTATACATACATATGTGAGGATTTAGTGGCAGTTTGCAAAGCGTGTAGCAGTCTTGCTCTCTGCTTGCTGCAATTTTCAACAGTGAGTAGTACCTATGTCGAGTTACTAATATCCCCAAAGATTATTTCGTATATAATTAAGGTTTCTGCATATTTCGCTATGGTGAAGTCTGAAATAAGTCCACTGTACAGTCATAAGGGGCTAGCTGTTATAGAAGACGTACCTGTGCTGCCACAGTTTAAAACATAATAAGCAGAAAAACTTATTTTAAGACGGTATGAAGAGGATAGGTTAAAGTGCTAAAGGAGAAATGAAAATGCTGTTAAACTAAGATTATCTGAAAAAACTTGCGCTCGAGTTGCTTTATATAATGACTCTGCTTGTTAGTCTTACTCTTTACTGTTATATATTTATAACTTTTGTCAACGTATGTATATTAGGGTGTCCGTTATTTCCAAAGTTGATGGTTTTTATTGTAAACGACATTTAAATTTAAATTTTTGTGCTTAAAAGGTTTTTATTTTCATTTTAAGCTTGATTTGTTTTTGATCTACATATTTAACAAAGTTTCTAGCTCCCAAGCTGGTAAATCTACAACTCTAATATAATAATATTCTTATAAAAAATTTACCGCTTTACAAAAATGGTCTTATTAATTATTAAAGATTTTCCTTTAAAAGTTATATGCTGTTAAAGATATGCCTCAAGTGTATTGTATTCATTCAGTACACCATGTCGTATGATCAACACAGAATGTACATACATATACATACTATGTCAATTGCATGAATCAACTTGTTGAAAGTATTGACACCCGAATGTATACATATACATATATAAATGGCAATATATGTATGTCTTGCCTAAAACAATATAGCAAGCTTTGCAGAGAGAGAGACTGTTTGACATTTAGCGTAATATTTGAACTCGCTGAACTATTTTTTTTTATCGATTTCTTTTATTTTGTTATTCTATTAACTATGTATCCATCTTCCATTACAGAATTATGTATCTTCGCCAACAAATTCGTCGAATAGAAGAATCAAAATCACAAAACTCATTTATGTCTGATGATCTTTAGCCAATATCAAATTTGTATTAAAAAGAGGAATTAATGCTAAAAATTCACACATAACCACATTCATAAGCGAAAATTCTCACCAAAAAAAAAAACGCCTACATGCCCCATTCAAAAAATAATACCAATAAAAAAAAAACAACAATAGCAATTGGCAACACTACACTAATATTTGCTAGTAATCGAATGATAGTGAGTGTAGACGGCAGGTAACCAGCGTTCAAAGTAGTAGCAGCGGCAGCAACAATAGTAAGAGCTGACAATGTGAGAATCAAGCGTGCGGTTAACAAAATTTGAAACAACTTAGTATAAAATATAAAATAAAAACGGAATACAATTAAAATACAAACAAGATAAAATGAAAATCATAAAAACACATAAATAAAGCAAGTAATACAACAGGAAAATCTACACAAAAAGTAATGAATAATTATAGTAATATTATGGACTAGTAATTATAACTATTAATTTAATGATAAATAAAAAAATAGCTATAACAAAATGAGTGTGCAAGCCAATTTAAATCAAACCTACCACACAGTTCGCTAAGGATATAGGATACAAAGATCGACTTGTATTTCAACGTGCTAATTAAGCGCTTGAAACCCTTTGTAGCTTTCAGCTGCAAGTCGTGGCGTTGGCGTTGTATGAATTTCATTGCGTAAGGAATTTCATAATATGTGTCACACGCATAGGGGCATATTTGAGCAGCAGTGGTGGCACGAGTGACCATCATAAAGGCGTTGGTTAGCGGCGTAAATTTGAAAATTCAGTAGGTCTTTGCTTGTATATCAACCAAAAATCATTATAACATCAAGAAATGCCTTTTATACTTCATTAGCATACAGTTGTTTTTTGTTTGCAGTTTACAGCTAAACAGTTCTGCTATCTTCTAATTTATTATAAATAATAATTTCAAGTTAAATACTAGTTTATTATAATATATTCTGTTATAATGAATTTTTTTTTGTAAACATATGCAATATAATTCCCACACATGCACACACAATACTACCTACAATAAAATACAACAAAACAGTTAACGTTGCAGGAGTAGATGAAAACCCCGAAGCAATTATTACTTTTTTTTTTGTAATATTTTAGTTCTTTTTACTTTATTAACATTTAAAGAATATTATAGATTTTACGTGATTGCTGTCTCTTATACACATCTAGATGTGTAGATATATGTAAGCATATGCTATATTCAATATACTTATATTAATTGATAAAATTATATATATATATAAACAAAAACAAAAAGAAACTGCAAAAAATAATCAAAATTAAATGTATTTTAATTTATTTGTGTTTTATTTGATTCATTTTAAGTTATTATGATTTTTTTAAGCAGTGCCTCTTATTATTTGTACAGTGAAACTATAATGGCGATAATACTTTTTTAAAACAACAACAAAATGTAAACCTGCTAAGGCATAAAAATAAAGAACTGTCTTTATTAAATAATTGAAGTTCTATTACTTACATATATATTTAATGGAGTTGCGGTCTTTATATTATATATGTAAAGCCCCCGGTATACGTGTGAAAAGGTGTCGGCGTTGTGGAATTCCAATATAGAGAGATAGTGTTGTTTTTGTAGTGGCAGGAAATGATGCATATTTTTGAGGAATGCTGACGATTTGAGCGTCCATGGTCGGGTATATGTATATACGCTTTCGGATAAGTTTATCAGACTGGGGGTGGATAAAATGGTTATTATAACGATCAGATACACATACATACATACATATGTATCTACATACGTGTGCACATGCTTGTATACATGATCAGCTTACTTTACTTGGCATTCCCTTATCTAACGGCGAACGCCTGATAATTCTGACAGTGTGGCTTAAAAGCAAACACTCTGAACAATAACATTTTTATAATACCAAGGCGATCACTGGTTATTAATATTAATAAAGCGATAATTTCCGCAACAGCTGGTTATCGGAATAGACCTGGTCTTATCTGGCCAAAGACTTATTTCGGCAATCTAACACACGTTCGGTAAGTAATGGTCTTCTAAGCATCCAACAAATTAGTACCAGCACGACTGTAGCAATCAAAAGTGCAGTGCACTTGAGCGGCGGCTTCAGTTGGTGGTGCAGCCCAATGGCAAGTATCGGGTTGAATTTGACTCTTTCTTACACAATACTCTTACACTCTCAATAAAACAATTTGTTAGTGCTTTTATATAATCACAAGTGACATTCGTTATTTAGTTGGTGTTGTAACAATAATACTAAAATTCAATTGTTCTATTTTAAATTCCCAGAACTACTCAACCATTATTTATTTATTTTCTTTACCGATAAAGCAGTTTTGTCCACCATTGGGTTTGTGTCTTGGTTTAAACAGCCAATTGTGGTAATTACACATACAATTTCCGCTAGTTTGACAGCTCGCCATTTTGATTGCAGTTTACCGTTTGAGAAATAAAAATTCGCGTTGCAATTCGTTGCTCCGCATTAAAACTGTGTATATATAACAATTTGTGTAATTTTATTGATTTTATTGTGTGCAAGGTGCTTAATCAACATCGTCAACATGCAATTTAATTGTTAAATTTCGTGGAGACAGCTGGTTAGGTGTTGCATTGAAGTATGAGTATAGATGCAGTTATTTGTTGGTGTGTCCTTTCACACAAGCTCCCACATGTTAAGATTTTATTATATATGTTTTATCAATGTTATATTTTAATGCAATAACATGAATTTCAAAATAAGGAAGTGATATTTCAGATATTATGCAGGAGTGCTGAAATAAATTCAGATTAGTAAAGTGAAAAGCAAATGAGTAATAGTGAAAATAGAAATATGCACAGCTGTTCTGTGTTTATGTACTTTGACAGGTTTTTGTCAATTAATTGCAAATAAATAATTTTATTAATTCTGAAATTCTCAAAATCGCAGGGTTAAAAATAAATATTCTTATTGTTAAATTATTAAAAATGTTATTTAACGAAAATTAGTGTAATTAAAGAATAGTGAAGAACTAAAAGCTTTTCTTTCTATAATTTACAAAAATTAAAAAAAAAATTAAATGTTTTTAAGATTAATTTTAATCTCTGAAGCTTTGGATTTATTTTAATATATGCACTATTTAATTGTATAGTATGCAAATTTCCCTCTGATATTGCTAAAGAGTGAAAATGTAACAGCAATGATAGTAAACAAATAAAATAAATATCTGATATCAAATATAAATATGTGTATATGAAAAAAAAATTTAATAGTGCTAAATTAATGTGGATAAATATTAAAAAAGTGGTATGTTATTAAAAATGTTAAAATAATGTATTCAAAATATGTGTTCACATAAAAGAAATGTGTGTTTTCAATAAAAAGTGTACTGGAGTGTTACATAAAAGTGGATCAATATAAAAAAAGGTGAAACGTTACTAAAAATAGCGGTATACCTAATTTGCAATGTAATGAAAAATATAGATTCTTATACGAATTTGTGTCTTAAACTTTGACTTTAGTTTTGGCCATCCAGCGAGTTATATTTTCGCGATTTTCTCGGCGATATATTTTAGAATTCCATCATTAATAAATTTCAAAGTAAGTAATACATACATACATTATTTTTATTTATGTAACTCTTATTTATTCGACAAATTTAACCATTAACAAGAGAAAAAGTTAACTTCGGCTGCACCGCAGCTATAATATTCGTTACATGTACATCTTTTTAGCATAAAAGGGTATAAAAAGATCTTTATTTTGGGTTTGATCGGTATATTTTAAAGGTTCAGTAGGGTAATCTGACCTGTTTTTTTGAATTTTTTTCCTAGAAATTTTTATTCTGCCGATACAAAAACAACAAAAATCAATGCCATATTGGGTGAAAATTTGAGAGACAGGTGTAAAAAAAATTGGCGCAACCTGGTGACATTGATCCTGACTCTCCTGGTGGTCTGAAAAAAAAAAAAAAAAGCAAAAGAAATTCTTAATCAGTAACGATGCTGTTATAGTCCCTATTTCAGGGAACACGAAAAAAATTTTTTTCAAAAATAGCGACTGCCTGAAAATAAAAATCATTTTTTAGGCCTTTTTTTTAATTCCTGAATTTTTTTAAAATATTAAAAACAAAGGATTAAGGATTATATAAAAAAAAAAAGGATAAAGGATTATATAAAGAAGGTTCACACAAAATTTCAAGTAAATCGGTTGTATAGAACTTTAAATAATGACGGTACCGTGTGGAAATAAGTAGTTTCAAGAAAAACGCGTTTAAAAAGGCTAGGTACTGCGTCACTAAAGTAACTGTAGCTCTAAAAATAGTTTTAATTTTTAAAAATCCTTTGGAGGATATGTTCTTAAGGGTCTAAACTTTCTAATAAATATATGAAAAAAAAATCGAATTTTTCAAAATTCTAGAGTAGAATACTCCCTTAATATTAGCTATCAAATTAACAAAACAAAATAAGCGAACATGTCTTTGATTCCAATGTCAACAGAAAATTTATACTGTTTTGAAATTTTGAAAAATGCACACATCTAAAATTCTTTGTTGATCGCAAAAAAAAAAACAAAAAAAGCTGCAATGACTTGCACAGAAATTTTACATGAACTTCAGTGTAAAACTCCGCCCTGTCCCTGTCAGAAGTGCGCCAAGTTGCGTGGCGAGAGCGGAAATGGAAACGTCAATGCTGAAAGTAATGTTGCAGATATGCCGCCAGAGCGGCCAATACCAAAATATCAGTTTCAATGTAAATGCCTTTGTGAAACGGATACGGAAAGGCCCTATAAACGGAAATGTCCACCCGCTCCGCCGCAGCCCAAGCAAACTGTTAGTCCCAATAAAAAGTGTGTAGAAGATGATTGTAATACGGGGAAAGGTTGTTGCAATACGGGACGCAACTTTTTGTCCTTTATGATAAGCATAATTGGCTTCATATCGTAAGTGCAGACCCATACATGCTTTAATCAGCGTCTACAATTGATCCTTTACAGGTTTTTAATAATAGCCGCCATCGTGTTCTGGCTTTTGGTGTTGAAATGTACAATTATCCTGTCCATCAAAGTATATAAATCGAAGAGGTACGCATTAGTTGTGGGTACTTTTTTGATTTGATTTTGATAACTTTTTTCCATCATAAGTGTAGAACTACGCAAGTGACAGTAGTGAGCATAATTGGTTTCTTGTTTCTGCTTATATTTTGTACGGCTGCATTGACATGTTTTCAAAGATATTCGGCCAGACGTTCGGCGAGCAAACTTGCAGCACAACCAGCCATTAAAATAAAATCCGAACCCTCTGGCAGTTGGTATACATTTAAAAGAAGCCAACGGAAAACAATTGCGCCGCCATCCAAAGTGACTAAGACCCGTTACCCTTGGACACTTCGTTCCGTTACTCCGGGCTCAACAAAAGAATTAACATCCACAGTCAGCAAAGTTGAAACACGTTCTTCGTGGATGCCTTTTGGTAGAGGACGTGAGGTAACAACGAAGGATATCAAAATAGAGTCCAGTGAACCACGTTCGTCGTGGATAAAAACACATATTTGGCGAGAGACAACAACGAAAGATATTGTTACCCCTGTTAAGAAGCCTGAAGCATCTTCTTCCTGGTTACCTTCATTTAGATGGAGTTCGGCTTCAACGAAACAAATTGAACAACAAACAAAAACAACAGAGACACGTACCTCGTGGATGCCTTCTCGATGGTTGGGTCAGTCTCCGCCAAAAGAAATTGATTATCAACTGAAGAAATCTGAAATGCCCACTTCTGGGCTGTCTACAATTAGATGGCGTACAAAACAACCTGAACAAGCACCTAAAAAGATTGAAAGGCGTTTCTCCTGGCGGCCTTCTAGTTGGTGGGGTTCGTCGGCGCCTGAAGCTGAACAACGTTCTAAACAGAGTGAAAGGCGTTCCTTGTGGCGACCTTCTAGTTGGTGGGGTCAGTCTCCGTCAAAAGAAATTGGATGTGAACTGGAGAAGCCTGGAGCCTTTACTTCTTGGATATCAACATTTAGATGGAGTTCAACTTCATCGAAACAAATGGAGCCTCTAGCCAAAAAGGCAGAGGCGCGTACATCCTGGATGCCATTCCAGTGGGGTCAGACTGTACCCAAAGTGGTGGAACGAAATGAAACGTCTGTGACGCGTTACACTTGGTTACCTTCATTCAAGTTGAGGCAGTCACCAGTCAAAATTGAGACTACAACTACAAAGACGGAAGCGCGCTCTTCATGGTTACCTTCCTTTAATCTGCGCTCTAGATGGACAACTTACTTTACTAAATCAACTACAATAAAAGAAATTCAAACTCCACCACAAACAAGTAAAGTACGTTTTTCCTGGATGCCTTTTCTTTCGTGGAGTAACAAGCCAGCAAAAGGTATGGAAATTGAATTGACCCAAAAAGAGCATGAGTCACGTTCATCTTGGATACCCTACTTTAATTGGCGACGTACGAAGACAACCAAAACGGCAACAACAAATAAGGACTCCAAAAAGACTACTTCGACTTCTTACTGGTGGCCAAGTTTTAGTTGGGGTCAATCAGCAACTACAGCGACAAGTAACAGACTGTCCGGTGGAATGCAACAACAGAAGCTTACTGTCACCATAACCGACGATGAGGCACGCCAAATATATAAACGGTCCAAGTTGTATGCGATACCAACAGAAATGAAACAACCGCCAGCTTTGGTCGTATATTTACGAGATTTTATTCAAAGAAATGCGGACTAAAGACGCGACATAAAATGCGGCATAGTTCCAGAGTTAAGTTGAAAAAATGTGTGCAACCACAAAAATTATAGAGCAACCATTATAAATTTTTGTATTGTGAAACATAATTGTAAAAGAAATATTAATTTGATAAAAAAATAGTCTTAATAATTATGAGCGATGTTAGGAGTAGTTTAGATACTTATAAGAGATTATTTCATTGGAACGCTACAAAAGTAGACCGATACGGACAGCAAACGATGCCATATTCTTTCTCGTTTTTTTGACATTTCTCTTCAGTAAGGTTTGCAATTTCATCATGGGAAGATATACTACCCAACAAAAAGTCGAAAGAATGGGAGGCTAAGTTTATAACACTTTGGATGTTACTCCATTACCCATCTATGCGAACTACGTAGCTTCGTTCTCAATCGCCTTAGCTTTAGGATTTTTTGGATTAATCTCTTGACCTGTATTTAGCCCCTATACCTCATATAAAATTACTCTGCATAATAGAAAACTATTAACATTGAAATTTAATGCTTTATTTTTAAAAACCGCCGAATGAAACCCTGCTCTTACGTTACGTGGTTTTCATAGGTGTTATTAACGGTGGAAAGCTGAAGCTTAGGATCCGGATTGTAGAAAGTAAATGTAAATGCTGACGGTGCATGTATGACTCTACGGTAAAACCCAATGAGGTGGTTCGCGAACAGTCTCAATAACATAACTTAGAGTTTCCAAGATATTTTTAAGATCAGTTAGTTCCATAATTAAATCCATACAGTTTCTCTACTTCATTTTTATCGCATTGTTGTTGAAGGATTGTTGTTTCTATAATGTATTCTGACCGAAATTACAAATCCTTAAATATAAATACACTTTAAGCCCATCCTTTGTCTCGGAACTTAAAAATCAATATTTCGTCTTACTAAAGTTGTATACTTTCTTAAAATACTATTCAATAAATACTCATAAATATTTACAAATTAAATAAATGTACACAGTTACAATCTATATAGTTAGTCTAGTTAGTTAGTGCCACCATCAAATGTAATCGATCATCGCTGTAATTATTTCGAAGGCATCACGTGCGGTTGGCTCTATGGAAGCGCTGGGCAACAGATAGCCATGCACACCATTATCAGCTAACTGTATCGTGAAGCTGAAGGGTATACCAACTTCATAAGCCGCGAATGCGTCAGAGCAACCTGTTCGAAAAGAGTAAAAGTCAGCATTAGTTGAATGAAGTAATGCAAAAACTCTTCCGGCTGACACAAATATTTATACATACATATATACATATGTAAATACACAATATATATGTGTAACATACTGTCTATATAAATGTGTGTAACTCTGCCCACCTGAGCGATTTTCCACCAAATCACTTGTCGAGTCAATCTTGTAGCGTGACTTGCTGCCTTGCTTACGCAATCCATCCGTTCCCACCATGGCCACATCGAGAAAGTCATCGATGCGTTCGGCGTTAAATGAAGTGTTCGCTTTCATTGGATATGAAATAATCTGACCATAGGCTTGTAGTGAAATGTACATCTAAAGCAAAGTAAAGGCACCGGCAAATAAATATGCATACTCCAATAATATGGCAACATTTGCATGCCCACCTTAATTTGTTTACGATAATCTATTAGGAATTCCGATAGCGCTTTTGATTCGGGTTCGGAAAATGGTCCTGGTCCAGCGTACACTTCATTGCATGCTGATTTCGAGCTACCCCGCTTACCCCACTGGTAGTGCCAATTGCGATCCAGATCTACACCATAGCAAATGCGTGTTGCTATCTTCTTTTGCTGCAACCAAGTCATTGCTGAGTCGATAATACCGTTACGGCGTGAGATATGACGGGAACGCGTTTTCCGCCAGAAGCGATCATATTTATGACTATAAACGTAACCGTCAGGATTGAGTATAGGCATAAAGTACCAGGTCGTATTTTTTATGTACTCATTATCAACGGTTGTCTCTGTAAATTTTTAGAAAGTGTGTTATAATCTCTTAAAATTATTAAAATCAACAAGAAGTAAGTCGCTCGAATATGTTAAGTAGTTCTGAAAGTGTATGTATACCTATTTTTTTACTGATCTGTGTGCTACAATGAACATATCATTAGCGAACGACGGAATCTCAGTTTTCGACAGATGTATGACATTTTCCAAAACTCTCGCACCTCTGCCGAACAGACCATGGGATTGGAGAAAGAGAATGAGAAAAAGTGAGTCGGTTATTGAAGCGAGGCGAATCCTTACTGATCAGAATGGGAGTCAGGCCGTCTGTTTGAGCTCCCTTTTAGCGCAAACGCAGCAAAAAAATTCCTTCGGGTCCGGGTTGGACTCAATGCCAGTACCAGTCGGAAAGATACAGAACAACCCTGCTACAAGGTGTTGCTCCAGTGACAACATACTTAATCTAAAACTTACCGATGCAAGTGGAGTTAGATCTTCGAAAGTACATCCTTTGGCCGGATAAATTCCGGTTCAATACCGGTCCCGGCTGTTGTGGGAATTATGACCGTAGTATTTAGTCCCCGCATGACACTAACCGCCACTTTGCCTGCCCAGTTAACCCCACACTTTTGACACCGCTATAGTCCGACCCATCAAAACAGCACATTTTTTGGGCCTACCATTGGATGAAATCGATCTTATCCAACAACAGAGTCGGATATTTTTGAGTGCGAAGATCTTAAGTTTTTGATAAACGAGAAGTGACTAAAATTTATACTAAAACCCCAGACGTCTCGCAGATGGTTTTAAGATTATAAAATAAGAAAAACGAAATCTGCTGTTTGGCATCCAAAGGGTTTAGTTATATAGAAAATTATTCTTCGACCTTCGAATTGGGCACAACATAGAAATACCCAGAGAATAAAGTCGTAATTGAAGATCTGGCGAAAGATATACTCAGAAAGGTGCCTTTTGACTGCAAAGTCTTGGCTCATATCTTAGTAAAATTTGTCGTTAACCACCAACCAGTTCTTATCTTTAAATCCGTCCTCGTTGTGATCTGGAGCAACATCAGTCAATTTTAGAAATTTATCTCCTGGAGCAGCTGCTTATACGAAATTTCAGAGAGGGCAAGTCCCTAACGACCAATTTCTTTGAACCAATGTTGGAGAAAATATAACAAACAGCAGAAATAAATAGGTCAGGCCGAGTCTATTATGAAAGTTTACGAATGAGAAAAGAAATATTTCCAGTTATAAAATAAATAGTCTGATGCCTAATTCACTGTCGACAGTCAAAATTTTATAGGTATTGAATCCTACATAGAAAGGGAAAATTCTGTGAAATATTTGTAAACACGGGTGTTGTCTGAACGAAAGGAGGGAGTAAGAGAAGAGTAAAACATCTAAAGAAAGGTTGAAAAGGAAGGTACCGGTTTCGGAAGTTAAGAAAAAATGCCGTGATATCTGGGTTCGTTCAAAATTGTATAAGTGCTTATTGTGCTAATTTACAAGAAGGCTAAATTTTTGATATCTGAGTAAAGTCATAGGCTGACATTTTCATACCAAGTTATGGCTTTTCCATCAGCATTATCCTCTACTCTACTTACAACCCTATTGTGTTTTACAAATTTTCCCAACGCCCCCTTTTCAATATTTTACATCGTTGTAAAGTGAAGTCAGCCCCCTCTGATCTCTATGTCAGAATATTTTTCATTCAAATTCATCGTGGAATTCGCCTAAAATGCAATAAAACCAAAATTAACAGTAATGTTTACCGGAAGTTCTACCATGACTTATGCAAATAGACGGGAACTGAAATGCCAATTTCAAGCGTGCCCATGTGAGAAGTGTGTGTGTTTTCGTGAGGAGCGTTTGGCTAGCGGTTGTTTCAGCGAGCTATCCGACACACCGCCTGAACGGCCCTCACTCAAATATGCACAAGATGCTGACAGCAAGTTCGCCTACAAACCGTACAATATTGATCCGGAGTATAAACGAAAAGATCGGCCGATAGGACAGCAGCGCAAACAGGACACGCAGGACACCGACGAAGTCAAGAAATGTTGTAGCTCGAAAGCAGATGCTTGTGATAGTGGCAAAGGTTGTTGCAACACAAATGGCAACTTTATGTCTTACTTGATCAACGTTATTAGTTTCATAGCGTAAGTTAATCAAAATATTAAACTTGGATTGATAGTGTAATCTTTTTTTCACTGTTGGCAGCTTCACAATTATAGCTCTTCTACTGTTTTGGCTTAAAATGTGTGAATGGACATTTGCTTTATGCAAGAAAACTTATCATTCAAATAGGTCTGTATGAATTCATGAGTTAAAGTGAATTAAGTCGGCTTGAGTTGAGGTGGGAATTTTGATTTCTGGGGGCCTATTCTGTAACTCAATTCGAAAAAAAATTTACTTGAATTCGGATTTTTTATATTTCGATTTTCGGATTTTAAAGCCAATTTTCGAATAAAATATTCGTTAGCTTTTGAGTTACATTTATACTGGCACAGGGTGGTAAAACTTTCGCATAATTATAAAGTAGATCCGAATTTCGAATTGAATACATTTACGAATCGAGATACAGATTTTTCCCCAATTCAAAAGTACCGCCTTCTCAATCGCATCAGTCAATATAAAATCTAACATCAAGTCTTCAAGAAGTTGTCCAGTAATTGTAAATGTTTCCTTTAACATAAGTCAACTTATGTTTCTCTGACATATTATCACAATTCAAATTCGTGATATCTCGTTTTTAATTTGTTTAATTCTTATTTCAATTTTAAGGAAAACGCAACTCATAGTTATTAGTATAACAAGTATTATACTTCTAACTATGTTTTCCACCTATTTAATAACTGGTACCCCGCTTGAAAAACATATGACCTCATGCAAGGAATCGCATTGTGCTACTGAAACTAAGGAGTTTACCGTGACTATAACAGATGACCAGTCACATGAAATCTACAAACAATCTAAATTATATGCAATACCACTCGAAATGAAGCAGCCACCCACATTGCTGCTCTATTTGCGCAGTCTTATTCTAAAAGATGAATGAGATTACAACAAAAATTAAACGAATACTAAATTATTGTAATATATGAAACAAGTATTTATTGTTGAATTTTCGCTTAGGTGGGAAAAATTCAAAAAATCTGAATAATTATATTATTA